CAAGAGACACTCAAGATGGTGTAGAATCCGAAATTTTAGTTTCCTAACTCAATAAATGACTACGAAATCTCTGTCCTACGAACCCTTCTCAATTTGACATTAGCGGCAATAGCGGATGATTGAGGCAACTTTTTTTCAAAATTTTTCTTTTATTAAGCTAATTTCATGACCAAGCACCTATTTTTGATGGAAATTCAAAAATAAAAAATCCAGCTGCAAAAGCTTTCCTATTTGGTATGGACACCGTCATTTAAAAAATAACTCGTTAATTAATTAATCAATCAAGAACTTTTGTTTGAAATTAAAACATCTCTGAATAATTTGTTTAGAGGGGGCGAGGTACATATAAACTTTTGCTGAAATTCTGGGGGATTGTGATAAATGTCCCCCTCTCCTTCCAACTTCTCCTACGTGAAAGACATACCTTGAACGTATTTTTGTAAGGTGAAATGCTTCATGGCCTCGATCTTGCTTGGCTTTGAAGTGGCTTTTCTTTGACGTACTTGGCTGATCCGTAGTATTGTCCATTATTCTACATGTGTATGAATATATTGAATGAAATGTACATGTATGTAATTATAAAATTAACTGATTAGGTTGATACTAATTAGATGTGTCTAAATTATGTCGCACAAAAAGTCCAATTTTCGACCCCCTCACATACCATCAAGAAAATTTCGAAAATGTCATTAACCTGGATTTGTGATGGTGTGGATTGAAAAAAGTCGGCTGGAGAAAGCGATATGCATTTTTTTCGACAAAGGGTTACAGTGAAGTACAATTACTACACCGACAATGTTTTCAAGCCCATTGTAAAACCTTCGAGGTCCGGCCTACCCAAAAATGGAAATCGGATTTCGCAACAAGACACGGATCAGAAATATGGTGCAAAAGTTGTCAAAAACTGACTTCGAACTCATTTCATCGATTTCATTTGGTCACAAGAATATTATCGGCATCCAGAGATTTTAACCTTCCGGATTATGACTTGCGGTGCAACATTGAGACCATGGCCTGCTCTAAACTAAACACTAACATGGAAGATCTCAAAAATGTTTGTCTAACTGTTTTAGACAATTTTCCACTGGAAACCGCGTGTACTCCAAGCCACCGGCCGCACTTCAGACTTCGCAAGCCAGTGCACTCCCGAAGATAAAATTTGGAAATTTGGTATTTTTATATTTTATACAGATATATTATGCATGCATGTGGAAACTTTTAAATACAAGTCGCTACCCGTTATTCTCCTACACATGCAAACGTTTGTCAAAAGACATAGTAATGGACTGGGTACAGACGCAAGTCCATTGAATCATCTCCTCCTGAGGTGGATGAGAGAGGTGAGAGAAGTCAGCAAAGGTAAAAGGTGAAAATAATTAAAAACGGAATCTGCCCGGACAAAAAAAATTGGATCTCGATAAGATCTGTACAGTTGATTTTTACGAGTCCAATGGTAGCAGCATTTCGCTTTAACTCACAATGCGATAGTGTGAAGTGCAACTCTCAGATTTTTCTGAAGTTGTCAAATTGAGTGGTCCAAGCCAATACAACCAACGTTTCTTGAAGCAGTTTGTGCGAAGGTTTGGATTTTCTCAAATATTTGAGGTCTAACAAGGGACACTCACGACCTGTAGTTTGAGTTCAGAGTACCCACTATGTTTTAGCCCGAGTCAGGGCTTATGTAATCATCATGTCTGTCTGTCTGTCTGTCTGTCTGTCTGTCTGTCTGTCTGTCTGTCTGACTAACGATTACTCAAGAACGAGTTGACCGATTTGGATGAAATTTGGAAGAACCATGTATCTCTGCAATGCAACGACCGAGTTCGAACATGGGTTCGATCAAAAAAGATTTGGACCAGTGGGGGTCATGTGGGTGGGTCGGGTATTATGCACCAAAAATTCAAAATTGTCGCAGAAAGCTGAAATTTGGTACAGAGGTTGTTAATGGCTCCTAATGAAAAAATGTGAAGTCAAATTTGAAAAAGTTTTAACCGGAGTCACCCTCGCGGGTGACCCATACCGATTTTTCAAAATCGTCCAATCGAGCCGAAATTTGGCATAGATGTTGTATGTATGTATTGGTGGGGTGACGATCCTGCCATAGTTAGACTGGACCGTCAGCTGCGCAAGCACTAGGGCTTATTGCAGTCTCCCCGTATACACCGCTTACTGTGAAGAGTTATGACTCTCACGATTTACCGATCTAACTTGATCAACAAACCGCCCTGATCTGATTATAAATTGAATCAGATCGGGCAGAGGCATAGTAACTATTTGCTCTGGTGGCACATCGTGCCTCCCAAAGAGTTCTAACCTAAGGGCACAGTACTTGTCACAGGATCCAAGAAAATGAAATACAGTCTCAGGGCCACCGCCGCATAGTCACGTGGCCTCATCAACTAATCCCATTGTTCTAAGATGCCCATTTAAAGTGCAATGCCCCGTTAAGGTTTGTATAGCATAGATGTTACTAATGACCTTTAATGCAAAAATGTGAAGTGAAATTGGGAAAGTTGTTATGCATAGGGACCCTATCGCATGACCCATACTGATTTTCAGAAGTTGTCTTAAAAAGATGAAATTCGGTACATTGATACTCAAGGGCTTATGAGGAACGAATATAAGGTTAAAAGCGGGCATGGTGTCTCCAGAGAGACCCTTCCGGGTGACCCATGCCGGTTTTTGAAAGATATTAGTTGCAGCTGAAATTTGGCACAGCGGCTAAAAATGACTTCTATAGAGCAAATACAAATTTGTAACTTCTAAATTTGAAAGAAGCGACCCCAACTGGTCCTTGTAGGCAAGGCGAAGGATTTGCAAATAACTTTACACATTTAGTGCTAAGTACTACAACATTGCACCAGCCCCACCACGGGGGTGGTAATACTTGCTCGGAGAAGTCGGACACGGTAACAATCGGATCCTATCCCTGACTCGGGCTATATGAAGGCGGCACTGGAGGTTTTAAATCTCCAATCTCGCCCCTTATCTGCTCTAATTTAGAATTTACTGCGGTGGTGATTTGACATTGGTATTTTTAAGTAATTCCGCAACCGGATCGAGGGAAGGGGTAATTTGGTTGACTTCCATATTTTGGGTAATCATGTACTGAGTCTCCGCTATTCTGCGAATTGCACTAATAGTGTCCTCCACTGTCGTTGGAGCTAAAAAGTGGATTTTCTCCAAATACAGTGGTCTCAGTCCTTTCACTATATACCTGATTTTTGTGTGCTCGGGCATCGACATATCGAAGTCGTTTATGAGGTCGAGGATACTGTACGCATATTCTTCTGGGCTTTCGTTAAGCTGTTGTTTCCTCGCTAATAATTTTTGTTCGGCTACTTCTTTTACTGCTACTGTACGAAATGCCTTCTGAATCGCCGCAGTGAATTCGTCCCATGTAACCTTAGCCGATGCTGGAGCTCCTGCAGCGGCAGTAGCTTGTGCATTTCTGTCTCTGATATAGTTAAAGTACCAAAGCAGCGCCGTTTCAGTTAAATAATTGGGAATAACTTTAACTTTAATGTCATCACTCCAATTGTTACTAAGTGGAGCTAATTCAAAACTTTGAAGGTATTTGAATGCATACTTTGGTTCTACTCCGCCCCTTGCCCCAGGGGGAGTGGCCCAAAGTCGCAAAATCTGAAAACTCGGCAGCGGATTTCTCGATAACGGAGAACGATATCGAGATGCTTCTTTCACCAAAAGTTTCCTAATTTTTTTCTCTACAACTCGAATCGAGCGTTTTTTGAAATTCTAATAACTAAATTTCCAAAAAATAACTTAAAAATAATAAGTATGTAGAGACCGATGAATATTATGGAGTTTGCGTCGATCTACTGCTGTTATCTGTCAATCTGCGGCTGTGTTAACGTCTGCATACCTGCAAAACCAAAACTCGTCGGCCTCTATCTAATCAGGGGGTGGTCCCAGACCCCACAAAGTATATATATTCTGAATCCTCCCGCCGAGACCTTTCCAACGATACCCCATTTATGCGGTAATGTGAGACTTGAAATTTTCATCCAAATTTTTCGAAGTTATTTTTTGGAAATTTAGTTCTTCGAATTTCAAAAAACGCCCGATTCGAGTTGTAGAGAAAAAAATTAGGAAACTTTTGGTTAAAGAAGGATCTCGATATCGTTTTCCGTTATCGAGAAATCCGCTGCCGAGTTTTCGGATTTTGCGACTTTGGGCCACTCCCCCTGGGGCAAGGGGCGGAGTAGAACCAAAGTATTGATTCATGTACACTCAAAAAAATTAGCTCTACAAACTGTGCAAATCTTAACAGAATCAATTTTTTTTATGTCTTTCGAAATTCCGGTTTACATTATTGTAACTCCTTACTCAAACGTGTGTAGTGGCCGAGTCCCAGCCACCAATTTTGTAAATACGTAGTAGCCCCCGGCTCCTGTTTGAGTTTTGACGGTAGTTACATATTTATAGTGATTTGGTAATAATTTGACCTACCGGTTTCCGGTAATTATATGGTAACCGGATGGGTAATGTTTGTGTAAGCAAGGCCCCGTGGCCGAGTGGTTTAGCGGGTTTGGCTGTCACCACGCAGTCAGACGTTCGATTCCTTCGGCCGGGAAGCTATTGCTAATCCTACTTGGCTCTGTGTAATTACGGGGTAGGTGCACGATCCTTGACAGGGTGAGCCCATCCATACGGAATGGAAATGTCATAGAGAGTGGTCCCGGCAGAGTCCGTTCTCTGCTCGGGATGAGACGACTTGCTACCAAATTATGGCAAGAAGTCGACATCTAAGGCTGAAAAGCAGGGAATACCTGATGTCTTTCGATGAAAAACGACCGCATTTTGAGCATTTCGAGTATTTTTTTTGTCTAAGCAGCCAACTTTTCATTTTTTTGAATTATTTAATACCAGTTTTCAAAGGGTGCATACAAAAGTAAATATTTACTTTTGCACGAAATTATGCAAACAAATACGAATTTTCAGATTTTCGCATTATTATTATTGAGATAAAAGAGCTTTATTGTTTTCAGATTACTAAAACTTTAATCCGTTTGTTTGTGCACTACAGTATTTTTTCTTCCCTCAGATTTATGCAGGCAGTAATATTGAGTTGTGTTTATATTTCAATTACAATGCGATATTTATAAAATTCAAAGTAAATAAAGAACTTTTACTAATTATGTAGTTGCATATTGCTCAGTGCTTCTCCTGTTAAATTACACCTGCAGGACATTAGAGCACGAAAATGTTTCTAAACGTTTAATAACATGCACCAAAAATCCCGAGATGAAAATGCACAAAAATCATTTAATGGCAAATAATATGGAAATATTGCAATTTTTTAAATAATTGGTTAGTTAGGAAGTTGTTGTGCTATTTGATGGTACATATTATCATCATCATCTTAGTCCCAAAATTTTTTTCCTAAAATATGTCCATATCTAAAAATTTTAATCTAAAAAAAATAGTGTTATAAAGGTTGCAAATAAACAAGATTTCAAATAATCTAAACCCCATTATGAAATTTTTTGAAAATATGACATCCTATGCCAGAAGCGAATTTTATTAATTTTATGCGTTTTTCCCCCGCATTTCCTGTGCACGAAAAGAAATACCGGTTGTTCATAAAAGTTTTACACCTTCTCGTTAACATTCTTCATTGGGAGCCGAATTTTAACCGTAATCTCGACACTTTCCTCCTCCTCCTCGCACCACTCATCCCTCACCTCCAACAAGTTGACATTTCTCTTTGTGCAAAACAATTTAATTCCATCCACAACCTGCTCCAGACTTGTTGCAGATTTCAAATCCAGCTCAGGACAAATTTTCCCTTCTTCCTTCACTGCCCGCAAAATCATTCCGTGCAACTCTTGCACTTGCTTTCGCCCAATTTCGAACTCCTTTTCTGCACATTTTATGACTTTCATCGTCTCAAAACTTAAACCCATTTGCATTCTTGCGTCAAGAATGGATTGAAAAAATCCTCCTTGCGGAGCAGCATCGTCCAGAAGGTCTACATTTTTCAAGGAATGTTTCCAATCTGCCAAAGTCACGTGAACTTGTGACCTATCAATAACCGCTAAAGTAGTTCCCCCCTTTTCCTGCAACCTTTCAACCGCCCGCCGGTACGCGAATTTAGCCAAATTCTGCAAATCCTCATCAACTCCGCGCTTTTCTCCCAACGGAGGCGACGTCCCGTCCACCACGAAGCGGAAAACGTCCTCGTCCAGGACGTTGCCCCATTTCGAGGTGGCCCCGAGCAGGACCTCTCGACGCTCTTGGGGGGTTAAGAAGGTCGGAATGTAGACGTATTTTAGCAATTTGTTGATTCGCCAGGAAAATTTTTCCGCCCTGGTTTTGTCCTTCGTGCCCCCGATGAGGAGAGTATTGTGCCGAGTTTCGTCCATCTTTTGGGTCAGGAGGGCAGTGGGGGTGTCTAAAAGTATGTAAATATTATCGACTCATAAATAAATTAGGGTGCGAGTATAACCGTCCAACGAAAAATATTTTTCTTCCAACAAAAAGAAATAATTTTTTCAACCAATTTATTTTTTAGTCCAACCAAAATGTAAAATATTTAATACAACCAGAACATAAAACATACAACTCGCACATTAACTATTAAATTTAATTTAAAACTTTTAATAAACTAATTTGAAGTAGTTAAAATTTTCAATAAATTGTTCTAATATTTTTCATTTTGGTTGGATATAAAAATCATTTGGTCGCAAATTGTAAGGTTACGAAAATTATAATTTTTGGTTGGAAGAAAATAAAATTTCGTAGGGCACTATAAATTTGACCAGATAAATTATGTGAAATGTCTCATAAATAAGAGACATATAGATAGGTACACTGTTAGAAAAGTGATATTGATATGAATACACAGGTATTGATTTCTGGATGATTAAAATATTGCCACAATTTTAAAATATTTTCCCTTCCCGTAAAAATTTGCTCCCAGCGTCTCCCAGCGTATGCTCACAGATTTGGTCGAAACTAGTCTCAATCGATCACAGACTTAATTAGTATGAAATTTGTAAACGAACTATTTATCTGCGAGTGCACAGGTTTGGCGGAGATATTTGCATCAAAAGGGCAAAAAAACGAGCCCCAAAGGCGACCAGTTTTACACTTTTTGAATTTTGCATTACAAATTTGCCCCATTTCTCATCTTTTTATGCAAATATATCCACCAAATTGTATACTGATTAGATTTGTGATCGATTGACACTAATTCGGTCCAAATCTGTGAGCATACGTTGGGAGACCTCCATTGTGAGCTAAATATTACAACTTCGTATTTATCACATATGAATACCATTTTGGCATATATGAATTTGTTATTATTTTAATACATGTTGTCTTAGAGTAGTGTAACCCCTATCAAAATAGTCTGAAGTACTTACACCCGCCATAAAAGTTGTCCAAATCTGGCAAGAAAATTACAGCGGTGTGAAATTTCTTCGCTTCTGTGAACGCATTTTCCACTATCCTTCCTCCTATTTCGTATGGGCTGTAAAATTCTGCAATATTTTCCGCAGTTTCGTCCCCATCGACAAAATGGACATAATTCCCGCCACTTTGAAGTGACAACTCGGTCGCGACGGCGGCAATTCCGCTTATATTCGTTCCATAGAGAATCACTCCTGGCGGGACTTTCTCCCCGGCTTGACCCGCATTTTCGTACACTGCGCGATTAAGGAACGGCGTGACTACGTTGTTTTGCAAGTATTCCAATTGCGATGCATATCCGCCCTCTGCTTCTGCTCGAATTGTGGAGAACGTCGGGGGAGGAATTTTATCCTCTCGGCGAGGTGGAGGTTGTTTTTGTTGTGCTTGTAAAATGTGCTTCACAAATTTTGAGAGCATTTTTTGAGTCAAATTTTCCCCACAATTTTGGTGTGTACAAATTATGTGTTCTGTGGAGGAACTTGAGTGAGGTCAACCCTGTAATAGTAAACTGTCTAGTAAATAACTAATTAAATCAAATTATTTGATTTGAAAATGCGATGGTGTGAAGTGCAACTCTCGGATTTGGTTGAAATTTTAAAATTGAGTGGTCCAACTCAATGCAACCAACGTTTCTTGAGGCAGCTTGTGCGATGGTTCGAATTTGTCAAAATATTTGAGGTCAAAGTTGAAAAACGAGCGATTTTTACGAAGCAGAGGAAGGAAACTACACTTCCATACCTTTTAAAGGGAAAAAATCTCCCATTTTTCAACTTTGACCTAAAATATTTTGACAAATCCCAACCATCGCAGTAACTGCCTCAAGAAACTTTGGTTGCATTGAGTTGGACCACTCAATTTTAAAATTTCAACCAAATCCGAGAGTTGCACGTCACACCATCGCATTGTGAGTAATATTTACACCCAGAATTTAGTTGCCTCACGATTTAAAATAGAGGAAATGTTTTTTTTATATTTTTTCAACAGATTTCAAGGAATATTTCTATATGATTTGAGTATCACGAATGCTCGTATTTATTGGGTGATGACCGAGCTGTAGAGATGAACTTTCTCCGTCTGTTTCTTATACTCAACTGGAAACTCGACAATGCAATCTGGCAGCAGACTAGGAAATGCCACGTAAAACATGTATTTGCATGTCTCAAAGGTACTTTACATGCATGTCAGGAAATACAAAGGGTTGGTTCTAAAGGATGAAGCGTAATGTAATATGTTCGTATGCCTCTCTCATTTTATAGCGTCGTAATTATTGAGGGGAGAGACCCCTTTATAAGTTGTCCGTCCGTCTGTCTGTCTGCCTGCCTATCAAATAATTTTTAACCACAACAGTATAAACTTGAAAGAATAGTCTGTTAGGTCAAGGGTCAGATCTGCTGAGAATGGGCTCCATAGGTCAGACCCTTCATTGTTAAAAATGTCACGTAGGGATCAAATTGCATATTTATGTCGATTCGATAGAATATTTAACCCCGAATTGACCTCCATTTTGATGTCAAAGGTTACGAAAGTCCACGAAAAGGTTGACATGATAAATTGTCTGTAAAGGTATACAATTTAACGTTATCATACATGTCACAAGTGCCGATAACACGTGTCACCTTTAACAGATTTCTAACATTCAAAAAGAATATTCATTTTGACAAAGTGGTTTCACCCCTTGGTTGCATGCGTTGTAACGATTGATTTTATGTGATCCTGACATAAAATAAAAAGTTGGATTCTCGCAGACTTGTGTAGTCACAAGGTTACGTATAACCTGGTTTGTTGCTTTATTCACTAATTCACAGCAAGTACCGTGCTCCTCCATAAGTGAGCCTACATACATACGTTCAAGGAATTTCAGACTTACACAAAGGTGACACAAATCCTGCCTATAACGAGCGGAGGAGAAATTTGGGTTAGAGTAATTTTCAAGTTTCAATCTCCCGCCTCGTTTTAAAAATTGTAACTGTATGGTTGAATGTGTTTTTCTTAAAATTTACACAGCCCTAGTCTCGCTCGCTGGACACAAAAATTTCAAATTTTTTTTCTTTATCATCAAGTTGAGTTTTGTTTCTCAATTTCATCCAGTTTCTCCCTCCTACCATGGGAAAATATAGATTTGGACGGGAAAAACGAAACCCTGGTAGTAACCAGCATTGACAATGTTACAGCGTAAAACATTTGCTACTACTAAAAAACAAACTATTTATTACCCACTCGGCCGTAAATTCTTACAAAATGAATACCAGTGACGATAAATACGCCACTCCATCAGAATTTGTAGTGTGTGTACATACATAACAAACACAAGCATTATTCACATTTATTTCCGGTCATCTTTTTTAAATATGTGACTTTACATTGAGCGAATATCTGTCCTTATGAACAATTAAATTGTGATGTTTTGTTGTTTTATTTCTTTTTGAGTGACATAATTATTACATGTAGGTATGTACTAAAGTGAATTGATTAGTATTTTATGAATAAATTACTGCTGAACTGGTGGCACTATTTTGATGTGATTTCATTATTTTATTTTTGCATTGCATAAACCCGGCCATGGTCTGGACGCCTTTCATTGTGATTAAATGTATCGGTATTTAAATGTAATGGGTAATCGGTAATCAGTATCTCCGACGATCCAATCCAATCCATCCATAATCCATAGATTGGATTGGATAATTTGGAAACCCATTTCACCTCTACACCGGAGGCGGAAGCTGCGCACCTATGACCCCCACTTGACCTAAGAATTGACCCTAAATATGGAAAAATTTTTCACTTAAACTACGTAATCTGGCATATGAATTTAAACCCACCTCTACCACAGTAACGTATTTATGTATGCACACATTGGCCGCGGATGCCGTGGGGACATTCACATTGTGTAGGGAAACAGGTTTAACATGACATCGAGTAACCGCTTCCGGGCTACGTGGGTACGATACATAAATATAAAAAACAATCCGATAAAATTTTCACCTTCACTCTGCCCCTCGTCCGTAAATTGTACCACGTGAAACAAGCCACTCCGTTTTATGGGTACATAAAAGTTGTGCCGACACATGAGCCCAGTGAATCATTGTCTCTCCCTTGATAAATATGATTGCTACCGACGAGGTGTATGTAAAATCATGCGGACACAATGTCCAAATTGTAGGTACATAAATGGCTTCTAAAATTGAAAGAAATGCATAAAAAACATGGTAAAATAATTAATACTCATTTTACCCTTGCAAATAGTTCCCGTTAATTTACGTACATATGTAATTCAGACACTTTCCAATTTGAGTCCTTTTTTATTGCCACGTAATCATTTGCACATTTGACATTTTCAGATTTCCCAATTATAAATAGGCATCTACACTTGGTACGTATTTACATACATATATAGATGTTTTAAGTGATATTTGCATATAACATTTTGATGCTATTTCAGCAAATTTTGGCAAAAAAAACGTATAACTTTCTCCTATATTCCACGAATAAATGTAAATATGTAGTCATTAACACAGATAATTCAGTGCATCGTTCTAAACACGGCATAACAATTCGTACGTACACCTACAAATTTTTCAATGTTTTATTTCACCGCAAAATATAAATAGAATTACAATTAGATGTGTGAAAATACTGAGCATAACTACATTGTACAATTACACTAATTTAAAAATTTGAAGAATTATTTATTTATTTATAACGTAATAATTAAAATATTCAATCTATTTCAATACTTGATACAAAAATTGTGATAAAATAAGCAACACAGTATTTTTTTAAAAAAAGTATGCAACTTAACTTAAACGTTGCGCAAATTTTGTAAAATATTATTTAAATGATTATTAATTATGATTAAATTAATGAGAAAAATAATGTTTCCAATTAACGACATTTCCCTCAAACTTCGCATCAATTCTTCTCTCCAACCTCTCCAACCGAAACAAGCTTTACAATCACGATTTCTAGTTGATCGGAAAGAAGAAATTACTCCTCGTGTTTTTCTCGCGTCTGGAAATCAGATGGATTTTTAAAAATTAATTATTCTCAAACCCACAAAGCTTACTATTCACACACCCTTAGAAATAATGACATCAAGTACAACTCAATTTCATGTAAACTATACTAAATAAATCCAAAAGGGTAACGTTAACTTCACAAAAGAAAAAAAATAACTCTGGATTTCGTATAGATTACTTAATTTAGAATTTACATAAATTTTACATATGTATTTTAATTATGTTTATACATACTTTCAAGATTCGATCCCGGACAACGAAAATTTCGTCCAGAATAATGACAAAGGGTGCCACCAGGATCACAAAAATTAAAAACTTTCTCTCCATCTTTCACCTGGAAGACAAGCGAGGACAGATAGCTATTTATTTATGTAAATAGGTGCTCCCTTTCTGAACGGATTTGAGAGAATGACCAGTCCGCAAGGAAGGATGCTTCCTTTGTACCCGGGGCCGACTTTAATACTCGATACCCACATATACGTATCTAAATATGTAGCGTTAGAGGAATATGTACATGAGTAAATAATCGCACATGTGTAAACGTGGCTGCTTCACTTTCTCCAAGAGTGAAAGCACGGATTTACATATTTACATATGCACCGATCCACAACTAATCGGGGACTTGGAACATGAGATGTCCTCATCTTAATCTTAATTCTCATCTCGTCCACGGTCCCAGTGGTGGGCTTCACATTCTGTCTGCACCGTAATTCGTACATACGAGGGATTATATTTAAGGATAAGTTAGTCTGTTCAAATTGGTACGGTTTGACGTGTTTTTGATGATTGTGACCATTCTTTCGTGATCTTACAGAGATACGTTTGTATGTATAAAATCATACCGAATGTTTTAAATAAATACTAGATACATAATATTTATTAATTCCTTAACTATACATATTTAGGTAATTAATTTTTGGGGTGAAAGTACTAATCTTGTGCATGGGAAAGTTAGCAATCGAGGATGTCACGAATGCGTAACTCAACAATAATTAAGGAATAGAGATACGACTGTTTGTGTGTATAAAATCACACCGCATATTATAGATAATTGCTAAATAATATATCGACTGTGGGTCGATAGCCTAATGGCTTGAGAGCACGGCTGCGAACCAAATGGGCCAGGGTTCGAATCTTGGTGGCAGCGGTTTTACCCAATGGGTTTTTCCGGTCTGTGTCGCAATCGTGTGGGGGGTGACCCCCCTCACAGTGCGTGGGATGGGGGAGTGTGGACTAGTGACTGCACCTTGGGTCCTCCCACTCACATAGTTAAGTCCTCTCTACGTAACTGCCCATTAATATGGGAAGTAGAGTTGTAAGTTCAAAAAAAAAAATATTTATTAATTCCTTAACTATACATACCTACATATTTAGTTAATTAATTTTTGAGGTGAAACTACTAATTTTGTCCATCGGAAAGTTAGCATCATTTTGAGTGTATCACGAATGTTCAGAGAAAACGATATAAATTGGATACTTAATCAGCC